ACCTCACACGTGCCAGGCAGGCGCTGTACCACTGAGCTAAATCTCCGGCCCCGTGTTTAACTTTTTGAGGAACTGCTACACTAAAAGACACAGTGCCATTAATTCTTCAGAATATCCCCCCTTGCTTCAGACATATTCATCCCATCATCCGTGACACTTTCTCAAGCTGTTCTGGAAGTCCTCTTTTGTGAGTGTCCTTCCAAGGTGTGTCCAAAAATGTAGAGAATGCCGCTGCCGAGTGCCACCCAACAGGAAAGCAGCTCACGAAACATTACAGCGTGTCCTCGTCTCCCTTATTCACCAGTACACCAAGGGGCTTCTGGCTCCTCCACAAGGCCAAAATGGCCGCGAAAGGGAAGCATTCTGATGGATTTAGGACATGGAGTAGCCACAGCAGTGTGGTCCATGACACGGAAGACTTCCGGAACTGCTTCAGAAAGTGTCAAGAATGATGGGATGAACGTGTCCAAAGTGAGGGGTATTTTGAGAGGGACCAATGGCCATGTGTCTTTTACTGTAATAAAATTTAAAAATTTAACATTTGCTGTATTTGTCAATCATATCTTGTATAGAAATGCAGCTTTTTTGGTATGTTGATCTTGGGTCCTATAACTTTGCTGAATTTCTCAGCTCTAATAGTTTCATTTGTGGTTCTTTAGGATTTTCTATGTATTATATTATGTCATCTGTGAAGAGAGATAATCTTTGCTTCTTACTTTACAGTTTGGATAATTTTTATTTCTTTTCTCTTTCTTCTTCCCTGTCCTTTCTTCTTTCTTTCCTTCCCTCCTTTCCTCTCTCTTGTCTGTTCCCCCCCACCTCCCCTTCCCTTGTTACTCTGCCTAGGACTTCCAGGACAATATTGAATAGAAACGGTGAGATCAGACACCCTTGTCTTATTTCTGATCTGAAGATCTTTTGGTCTTTCGCTACTGAGCATGATGTTATATGTGAGTCTCTTACAGATACTTTTTATGGTGTCAAAGAAGTACATTTGTATTACTAGTTTGTTGAGTGTTTTTGTCATAAAGCAGTGTTGGATTTTCTCTAATGCTTTTTCTGCCTTGAGATGATTATGTGGGCTTCTCCCCATTCATTTTATCAATATGTTCTGTTATTTGAATTGATTTTCATATGTTGAATCAGCCTTCAATGCTGGGATAAATCCCACGTGGTTGTGTGATCTAACCGTTTTAATATTCTGCTATACTCAGCTAGTGTTTTGTTGCAGTTTTTGCATTTATTTACACAAGGAATATTGGTTTCTATCTTTCATGTGATGTTTCTCTTTAGGTTTTGTGTAACAGTAATATTGGCTTCATAGATTAAGTCAGAAAGTTCCTCTTCTATATTTTGGTAGCGTCTGAGAAGGTATGATATAAGAAGATATATATTTGGTCTTTGTCCCTGATTCCTGGCACAGAGCTCCCAAAACCCTGTGTAAATTCCTGGGTGATAGGAATATCTGTTATTCATAACTAGCTGCTTCCCACCATGCCTAAGGTTGTGCTACTAACGTGACTCTTAGCAGCAGGCACTGTAGATGGCTTCAGAATGGGGATGGACAGTCGGAAGAATCAACCGTGTGCTCAGAAGGTTCGAACTTTCAGCCTCCATCCCACCCTGGATCTCTAGGAGAGGAGGAGGCTGGAGAGTGAGCTCAGGCACCAAGGGCATTGATTTGCTCAATCATCACTACATAATGAAGCCTCAGTGAAAACTCTTGAACAATGAGGTTTAGAGCACATCTGGGCTGGTGAACACATCAGGGTGCTGGGTGGGCACAGCACACCACAAAGGACATGGAGCTCTGTGCTCCAGACCCTTGGGAGGGCAGCACACTACAAAAGGCAGGGGGCTCTCTGCTCCCCTTGCTGTACGTGCCTCATTGTGTGGCTGTTCCTTTGTAATAAACTGGAGTGGTAAGTACAGTATAGCACTTCCCTCAGTCCTGGGAGCTGTTCTTATCGATCACAAACCAGAAGAGGGATTGTAGGAACCCTAACGTGTAGGTGTGTGAGTTCCATAGCATGGATGTACTGCATTTTGTTTATTTTTTATTAGTTGATGGACTTTAGGGTTTTTGCACCTTTTGACTGTTATGAAAAATTCCCCTATGAACGTTTGTATACATGTTCTTGTATGGACATGTTTTCTACTCCCTTGGGTACATACCTAGGCATGGTATTGGAGGGACATGTGGTAATTCTGTTTAACTTTTTTTTTGGGTGGGGGACCTGCCAGGAATCAAACTCAGGACCTCACACGTGCCATGACCTCGTGGTCAGCTGGATCTGAGGTGGAGGCATTCTTTTTGGGACTGAGTCTTTAACCCGTGGGGTCTCTGCAAATGCCAGATATTTAGGGCCAGAACTGGACTTACTTGTAGGACACTTCATTGGAGTGTTAGAGCACTGGAAAATTGGTTTTCCTCCATAAGTGAGATTTTATAAGCTTTTTATAAGTGAGCTTTTCCTTTATAAGTTAGCTTTTATGAGCTTTTCTCTAACCACTATTAAGATTTTGTTCTGGTGTTGGACTGCCAGTACTTTGACTATGATGTGTTATGACTAGGTTATTTATGATCATGGCTATTTGAGGGTTCTATATTCCTCACTTATATGTTAAATTCTTTTCCTTTACTTGGGAAGTTTTCTATTCTTTCAGTACCCAGGGTTTTTCAAGATGCCATTTGTGCTATTTTCTGTTTTTTTACTAATTCCAATTAATCTTTGATTAGTTTTCTTTGCATCATCTGGAAGCCGTTGGATCCCTTTTTCATGTTCTCTTTCTTTAAGGTATCCCGCAATTTGGTCACTAACAAACCCCCGTCTTCTACTTCTGACACTGTCCTCACAGTCGTAGTATTATTTGGGTGTGTGTCTTTTGGTTTACTCCCCTCGGACCAGTTTGGGAGAGCTGACAGTTTTGGAGGCATTTGTTGGCTTGTCTTCTCCTGTTTCTGATTTTGTTTGTGTTGCGATTTATGGGTTGATTTGTAGTAGAAAGTTTTCTTTCTGGTATGGAGGACTCTTTTGTCAATGTCTGCTTTTCAGTGATGTCCTCTGGGCATGGCTAACTATTGGCCCTTCCTTCTGTTCCAAGTTCCAACCATATCCATTTACTTGGGATGGGAGTCACAGGGTACTTGCCCAGCACCCAGTTCTCTAGGAGTGGACTACAGTATTATTAATGACCCCAAGGCAATCCGTATCAAAAATCAGGTTAAATAACCCTTAGTTATTGCAGGCTGATCAGGCCCACAATCTTGCAGACTAGTGGAAGGCGAAGGCTTAAATAAATGAGATGATGGAAATGATTTTAGGGCTCCAGGAGGGACTAACTCTCTTACAGCTTCAGTATTCTCTGAGTTTAGCCAAAGACTTCTCTGTGTGGCCCGTATTTATTTGGTTTTCAAACAAAGGAGGAGGATACTCAAGAAAACGTGGGACTCTCACAGGACCTTGGGAGAATTTTCCCAAGTAGTAAATTGTGTCAATCAGGAGAACTACCTTATCTTTAGGTTGGTATTTAGTGTAGGAGTGTGGAGACTGCAGCTGCAGCCTCCTTGTAGTAATTGGGGTTGGAGCCAAACATCTTCAGCTTTGACCTTATCTTGTCAGACAAGGTGCCTAAGCTTCAGACAACTCACAAGTAAACATGAAAAGCCAATTGGTTAATATTGGCTTAAATCCTGCTCAGAGCCATTTTGTAGTGGTCCCCAAGAAATCCAGACATTGTCACCTCAAAAACACTAATTAATAGCAACAGGTATGTCACTTTGGTTATAGTTATAAAATCAACATCAATTATAGCATGAGATACAAATTGAATATTTGCACACCCAAAGGACCAATAATGTATCACCACCCTTAATCATGGAACAGATCTATAAGTATAGTATGAACACTAGAACAAACCAAATATTGAACTACTATGGTATTGACCTACAGTTAATATCTACTAAATGGAACAACTTTATCTCTGCTAACAATAGAATAGTATTCAACCACAATAGTGTAATGTTAACTAGCTATCTAGAGATTCATAAAGCTTAGCAGTTATACTAGTAAAGATAGAAAGGACTGGGAAAGAGAGTGACAAAAGCAAAATTTAAAATTAATCAGTAGGCTATGAGGAGGAGAGAAAAGTGAGAGAAGGGTAAAAGGAGAACTTGAGGAGTGAAAGGAAATGAATAGTGTTAGACAGCAGTCCCAGGAAAGAACAAGCAAGGCCAAGAGAGATAAGCGGAGGACAGAATCCAGGAAATAAAAGAAAGAGAAAAGGAGGAGAAAAAAGAAAAGGAGAGAAAAGAAAGTGAAAGAAGAAAAAAGGCAGAAAAACTCCACCCCTCCAAAAAAAAACCTGATAAATGAAAGATTAAAATGATTTAAAAATAGATAAATCAAAAAGGATCAAATAAAAGAAAAAAATTCCTGCTTCTGAATGAGTGGTTTCTTTCCAAAATATGCAGTCTTGAGATCCAGTTCGTCACAGTTTTCTCCCTAGCTTTAGGGTCTGTGGGTTTTTGAGGCACCCTCCTGGCACCAGAGGCCCCTCTGTCCATTCACCCCAGGCTGTGGTTACTGCCCAAGCTGAGACGCTCCCTTGCCTGCTCCCACTGGTGGGTGGGAAGTGCTGCTACCCTTCTGCTAGGTGCAGGCCACTGGGCGGGGATTCACGTGGACTGTCGGATTTAGTGTTGGCAGTCATGGGAGGTGCTCTCCTCCCTCCCCAGGCACTCTCCTCATACAGGGTCAGGCCAGGTGCCGAGTCCTTACCTCTGCAGCCCCATAGCAGAGGGAAGCAAAATGTAGAGCCAGCGTGGAGTTGATGGGTGGTTGTGCCCCCGTGTTGGGGGCGCCGTGCACAGGCCTGCTTGCTTGTGTCCAGCACTACACATCCAGCACAGGCTTGCTTCTTGCTTGCACTGGACGCACACTCCATTTTGCTTCTTCTACAGTATTTTTTACATAATTTTTATTGGATTTCCAGTGAATTACAACTAATACCTTAATTTATAATAATCTAGTTTTAATTAGTGTCAACTAAGTTTCTATAGTATACAAAAAATTCTGCTGCTAAGTAGCTCTGTTTCCTACCTGTGTTGTTTTTATAACATCTGTATACATTTTACATATATACATTGTTTGGCCCCCACTCCTCCTCCAGCCCTGAGCACGCCTCTCTCCCTCTGAAACGCCCACCTCCCACCAGCATACCCCCTGAGAGTCAGGTGGGGCCTTAGGGTGTCCAGGTCAGGGCCATCGAGCACATTCCCAGAGTGGCCTGTGAGGAGCTGGGCCTTGGGATCCCCAGACCTCTGGGAATGCTCACCCACAAACAAGGTAATGCCTTGCTAGGCTGTCCTTAGGTCCTATGAGGTTGGAGACGGGGTAAGTAGGCAGAACCCAGGGAGAAAATTCACAGCTCAGAAAGTGATCCAGATCAGTTGATTGTTTTCCTTTTGGTGAGGGATGTGGTGTGGCTTTTGGCTTCAGTTACTGGAAAAGTTCAAAAGCAGAAGACATAGCTACGGCACTGCCATATGGGAACTTATATAAGCAATTGTTCTTATTGTCTACACCAATAAAAACAAAAAAAAAAGGGTGAAGTTGATTCATAACTCCTCAGACAAGGAATTTTCATCCAGTGACACATGAGCTGTTTGAAATTCACACTGTCCTAGCCCTCTCCCAAAGAAGTATAGTCTGACAATAATTTAACTTTCATAAATAATAAGTACATTATAA